TTGTCCTTGGAGAACAATTGCAACTTTTGGTATGCACTCTTTATATAGTCTTTTCCACAGGAGTTTTCCAACAACTGTTGGAAAAGTATGGAAATACTAATGTAAACTGAACTGGCCTCCCAAGAGGACTTCAGGGTCCCATTCACTCCTTTGTTGCATCGCCTCTTCTTTGACTTTCATCCACCAGTTTGCTTGGCTGTTCTCATTTTCTGATCTGCACTGGTGTTCCCTCCATTGCAACACTTCCCTCTTGTTTGTGCTTGAAAAATCTCACCACCTATTTTGTCTTTTTCACAGCCATGTTTCAGAATCCAGTGACTGAGGACGTGTTGAGTGTGAGGAGATTTCCTCACTTGTCTGAAAGTTTCGCCGTGTTCTCCCTCGGTGGTTCCTGCTCTCTTAGTGAGAGACTGAAAAACATGCTCTCCCCTGTGTACAAAGACCAGGCCTGTGACTGTACAGAGGCTCAAGTAACAACTGCAGAGGGATGCAGGAGAGAGAGTTTTCCTTTTAAACATGGGGAACAATTGTATCCTGCTCTTTGTAAAATAAGCAAGCAGAAAACTGAAAGTATTCTAGTGGTTCAATTCTATGTCTATGTCAACCAGCAGAATATTAAGAAGTTTGTCATCACTCATCATGGGCATGAATATTACATGAATTTAAGGCTTTTTAAGGCATAATGTAAACAAACCATTATTTCTCAGGGTGTAATGAAACAGTATATAACATTAACAAATGCAAAAAAAAAAAAAAAAAAAAATCTGACATCTCAAGCTTTATTGAGAACACATATACGTATCTCCTTGTCCTTAACCAGATTACAAAAATCACTTTCTGTTCATGATCGTGAACACCCATGTAAAAATATTGATTAAGGAAGTATTAAAACAGCCAGCCAGGCTTTGGCCTGTCATAACCTGCAAACTACTGGAATAATAAGAGTCACACTACATAGCAGTTTGCATCAGCATCCACTGACAGGTTACTGATCATGAACAAAACTTTTCTGATGTGATGAAGCAGCGATTTTGGTGTATGCCCATAAAAGAAGAGGTATGTATAGATGAGCCAATCATAGGTGTTTACACCAGGTGCGAAGCATGGTGATGGCAGCATCATGGTGAGCGTCTGAGGATCGGCCTTACTGGATCCTCAAATGAACAGCCAACACTGATTCAGCTGGGTGCTACAACTAGACAGCTGTCCCAAACACACATCAAATCTGCTCTTAAAATAGGTAAAACATGTTATTGCAAAGCTTCTAGAAGGACAAAAAGGTGTGAGGTTTCTTCACAAATTGCTAATAAATATTCATGTAAATATTTGTGGGAATACATTTGTTTATTTGAGCCTGTAAGTCTAATTTCAAATGTGTAATTTAGAGAAAAATAGCACAAAAAATTATACATGGCTAAAGTTGCATTTACTAATATTATCATTCAATTTCAACATTCATGCAATCTGTTCAAATGGATCCTTAAGATGAATATAAACCCTGTGTTAACATGCTGTTCCTCCACATGATCTTTAGATTGATAATGCAGAACCACACTGACATTTTTGAACCAAATTAACATTCACATATCTTTAAATATCTAACGTTACATTTCAGAGCTTCAAAAAATATATTAGCATGGACAGCAAGCTGACAGCTTTTTGCTTCACCTCCAGGCAAACATTTCAGTCAGTTTATCTCTGGTGAGTCCTTGAATCAGTATCTCCAGCAAGGACGTGACAGAGCAAATTATCTGGGTGATAAAAAGCCTCTCACTCCTGACATTCCGCTGTGATTCATTTCAATACAACCTGATGCTCTCTGATGAGGATAACGATAGGGGCTGCAGGTTCAAGTGTGTTTATCGCCTCTTCAGCTATCAACGTTTCTGTCTTTGTGGAGAGAAAAGACATTCCCAGGCTCACCCCTGTTATATTAATCTTTCTGAATTTGGTATGCAGAGGAATGAAAATTGACTGCGAGCACATCCAAGAGTCCAAGATGACTGTGTGGATCGTACCATAGCGAGATTTGCAGAGATGTGCCTCCCTCCCACACACATAAAATAAACACAGTTATAACTGACATTCCAGACTAAGAAAGGAGAGTGACCCGGGTCAGATCACTGTTTGAGCATTGCTGCCATTCCTCGTGGGCTCCCTCTGTAGTCAGTGTCAATTTCTGCTTCAGATTCTGCTCTGTCAAGGGTTTCCATTTGCGTGCACATGTTAGTACTGGCGAATATTCTTTTCTTTTCTTTTTTTACAATTTGCCTTGTTCCATCTACAAACATCTATGGCTTATATTTGGTTTTTGTGTGCATTTGCATTTGTATTCTTGCTCTCTTCACAAGGCTGGACGTTCTGTCCAGGCCTAAAATGAAAAGCAGATCAGACGTATTCTAAAAGGAGCTTCAGTGAGTGAGGACCAGCTTTAACTCTTAGCACAGAGTTTTATTTGGATTTATGCCTGGGTCACGCAGACATAAATTATCATTCTACTAAAGCTCTGGTTGTACGTATGGATTTGCTGCCCTCCTGGACGGTGAACCTCCACCACTGTCTGAAATGTTTTGACATCTCAAACAGGTGTCTTTAGCTTGATCCATCTTTCTATCGGGTCTTGATCAGCTAAAGAGCTGAAAAGCATCGTCTCTCACAGCGGGTGTATTCCGGATAGGGTAGGTATCCGGATAAACAAAATCAAAAATCAAATTTGTTTTCATCTGACAAAAGCAACATCTTCTGCATATTTTCTATCGCGCCCTCAAGGATTGTGACTAACTGGAAATGAGACTTGGTATGTTTTTAATCAAGAATGGCTTTCTTCTTGCCCATATTTCTGTTTTCTATGATTAATGAGCTCCTTGCTCCACTAATTAGCTTAGATGGACAGTCATATATTGGTAGGGTTGCATTTGTGTCATACTGTGACACATACTGTGTCCACTTTCAAATACTCGGCTGGACAGTGCTAATTGAGACGTATGAAGATTTGTAGATTGAGGCTAACTGTTCGCTAATTAAAGGACTTCAGAAGCAAACTGGTTGCTCTGGGTTTTAGTAAGGGTCTCAAAGTAAAGAGGGTTGGACAGTAATGCATTCTGCACTTTTTAATGTATTATTTGTGGAAAACTTTTATTTTCTTTCCATTTCACAGTGATCTGCCATTTAGTGTCGGTCCGTCACGTAAAAAGCCTAATGATACACAAGATTGTTAGTCGTTGTGATGTGACTAAATGTATAAAAGTTAGAGGAGAATCGCTTCATATTTCTGCAACACACTATAGGGCAATTCATTTTGGAAAGCTGTTGTGCATATAATAATTTGAAGGAGCTCATGTGATTGTTTAATGAAGCTCTCATCAATAACGATCAACGTTTTAAGTGTTTCAATTTAGCAGAAGCTGGAAATAAAAAAAGTCCAGTAAAGAACTAAAGCAGGACTTGAACAATTAATCACGTTATGTCTGCCAAGTTTTCAGCCAACTGATTGTTGGGCTCACATTACTGCCCCTGCTAAACGGTGTTATCTTTGACATTTTTCATAGATTCTCTTCAAAATATGGGAAAATATGGGCTCACGTTGCTTGTGACTTATTGCCAATAAGAAAAGGCCAAATATTTCAACTCTAGGACACCCTTTTGATTTTAGAAGCCTTACAAGCGTTAGTAAGTCTTAGGTCAAACTTAAACAGCCTAAGAAGCAAACAAACAAAAGCATTCATCTTATTTTTAGAAATCCAACCAAATATGTGTAAAAAGTCTCCTGGCTCAAAGAGACATCTTCAGAAAACCTTACGAGCTGTCCATCGGCTTTAAAGTTTATTGGAAGCAAAACAACAACAAAAAAGGAAAAAAAGTATTTTCCTTGCTTCGTGGCATGTTTGTCTTAGAGCTTAAATCCACTGAACTGTACAAACAGACTGCAGGGTCAGCAAACAAGAGGCAGTCACTCCATTTGCTGTTGCAGTTGGAAGGTTGTGGGGTAAGAAAATGTACTTTCCCCCTTGTTTATCTGTCTCCTGCAGAAAAAAAAAGAGAACTCTGTGACTCTTTAGTGAACCAGCAGCACCCTGACCCCATGAATGCGTGTGCCTGTGTGTATGCGGCGAGGACACAGCAGCCACGGTTTGATTTGGAAATGCTCACCCCCAGGAAGGAAGCTCATCCGCCGGGGAGCCGTCTCTGGGAGTCAAGGCTCTGGAGGTCACTTGAGACAAGACTGCTAAATTCAACACCCAGCAGTGGAGAATCGCGCAGAAGAATGAGCAGAATCCCAAAGCAAACAGGCATTCGGCAAGAATGTTTAAACATTCGTTTTTTGAGATCATCAATCATATTCAGAGGGAAAAAACACGGGTTGTCAGGGGTGCCTGGAGTACGATAAATCACTGCAACAGCTGCCAGGGCAGCTCATCTCTGACCAATTTAATCACATGAAATAGAAAAATAAAACCGGACACGAAAGAGATGAACACAAGTACGCTCCGACACTCACAGGGCCAAGACTGGCATGCAAATTGTAATCAATATTTTCTTCACTTAATTAACTAACTGACATTTAGATAAAAAATAATAAATCAGGAGCTTGAGATGATAGTGGAACCAGAAAGAAAAGTCAAAGAACCAGTGGAATCTCTTGGGACTCCTTCTTTGGCATTCTTCAGTACAAGGGTAAACTCATATGGAAGAAAATTCCCTCTTTGACGAGATATTTCAGTCTGAAACAAGATGGATTGAGAACTTTCAGAATTCCTGGAGTGAACAGGATCTTGCTCGTTTTGATGCTGCCACCTAGTGTTAATGTGAACTAAGCTTACACACGTCAGAATACATTGCTTGGTTTAATAATGTTTAATAAGCTACCAATCAAATAAATTCAGGACTTTACAATAAAAATTATAAACATTGGCAGTTTTCAGGGAGAACTACCTTATGTGTAACAAATATGCACATTAAAAGGTTTTCTTTGAAGAATATTTTACAAAAACGACAAGTCCTTTTTCTTATTTTGCTCTGTGCCCTTTAATTCATTTTGTCCACACAGTTTAAAGACATACAACTACAAAAGTGTGAGCAGGAAAACTATAAATCCGTCGTGTGTTGCTACGTAATAAACCACATTCAGCATGTTGTCACTAAACATGCTGAACAGAGTTGATTATCCAGTAATAGGATAATCAATCCATTTAAAAATCAATCCATTGATTATGCAATAAATGGATTGATTATTGGACCGATTATTGTGTCATGAGTAACTGTTTCACAAAAACAGCAGAATCAAGAATGTTTTTCACTTTTTTTTCTGTAATCAATAAGTGGATTATTGTGCAGACCTGGTGAGAAAATTCTTGTTCTTCTCAGCTCTATTTGCGTTTGGTTGTATCTGTAAGGCACCTGGTAGAAACAAGAAGGCCACGCACAGATGCACAAGTGTCAAAAAAAGAAAAATGTAATCAAATGTTTGTTTGAAAAGATATTGGAAAAACTCATTGCTCATGGGGAAGGTATATAAAACTAAATATTTTGATTAATAAAATTTGGTCACTCAAATTAATTCTTACATTTGCTATTTGCTAACATACACAATTGACATGAAAATAATGCTGCCCAGTTGACTAGTAATGCATGACTGATCAGTGTATGTCAAATAGTTCAATGCAGAGGAGCTTTCTGCAGGAATGGTGAGAGCCCTCAGCCTGACCCCCATAAACAACCTAACAAATCCCTTTCTGCAAAAAATTAAAATAAAAAAAATGCAGCCACCTCTTATTGCATATTTTGTCTGACATTTAAAGAAGTAAAACATATTCATATTTACAAGAACGATTTTGACATTTTTATGAAAACCAAACATCCCCTCTTGCTCATAAAAATTTCAATAATCCCAAACTCTTCTTACATCCAAAATCAGCGATCAAATTCAGTTCAGGCTCAACCAGATGAACCTGGTTTTGTGACTATTTTCTACCAAAACAAATTAAAAATGCTCTTTTTGTGTTTCTCTACCAAAAAGAAAGGCAAAATAAAACTACACTTTAAAAAAACTCCATTCATCTCTGAATGATGAATGTGTAGGTCTGACTACAGAGCACTTTAAAACTAGAGCTGATTAAATTTGTTAGAAAAAAAACTAAACATGAAATAAAGCTTCACCTGGGGACTGAGCCACATTGCCCATATATTAAAAAAAAACACTGATATATGATTTCTATTTTAAGATTATTGAATCTGTTCCATTCAATGCAATAATAATAATAATGATAGCTTTATGTATTTAAAAAAAAACTTTCATTTGTAAAGGTTTTGATAAAAAAAAATAAAATAAAAAATCACAAGTAACCTATTGAGATGGAGCAGAAAGAAGAAAATTAATAGTACCAGATATGTCTGAAAACATTTGATACACTTAGCTATCCAGAACAACATAAATGGAAAGGAATGCTTAAAAATGGCAACTATTTTCACAGAAACTCAAATACTTCCTCCAAATTCAGGTGCAGATGTTTCCTTGTCGTTAAAGAGGAGATGTTCCTTAAATTTCTATTGGTCTGAACTGAAGATGCCTTCTGACATTTCAAAACATTTCAGAGCTGCTGGTGAGGCCAAAGATAACACAGGGCTGTGTAGGAGCGACAAGCTTGAAGATGTCTCTTTACCAAATTACTTTAGAAAATTCTAAAATCTGCATCTGCAGCAGGCCTGTTGGACACGTATTAATCAAAAAGTCCTCTTTGTTCAGAATTAGTTTGCTTTGGTTCTCCGCTGGAGTTCACTCATCTCTAAAGTGGCGTTTCCTTTGCATCCAACATCGTACGCTGGAAGCTCAAGATTTCTGTGAAGGCACAACCTATAGAAAGAAGTACAGCAGAAATGCATTCAGTAAAACGTCATAGGTCATGTAGAAAACCCCACATCCCCTCCATCAGTCTGAAATTACATCCTCGACGCTGATTTTATTGGCCTCCTAAAGTATTGATCAGTGGTAGGCTTCATCCTTACGCTTCCACTGGTCCAAAGTCAACTCCTTGTCTTCATGTGAGTTGTCGTATGGTTGAGCCTCAGTCTCCTCTGCCGGTTCCCGAAATACAGCAAAGTAAGGCAACGACAGAGCCTCAACAGCCGTCACTCTTTCCTCAGGATCTAGCAGAAGCATTCGCTCCAGCACTGCCAGGGCTAGTAAAAGAAAAAAAAAAGGAAGAATCCAGAAATGACTGAAAATAAGAACAAAGAGGTAAGCTTAACAAAATATATCTTTAATATACAAATAAGAAAACTGTACCTTGGGAACTAGCCGATGGAAACAATGTCTTAAGCTCTTTCTTCTCTATTTTTTGGAGACTTTTGAGGTAACTTTTAGCCTAAAAGCAAATACTTAATGATGTTAATCCACACATACACATGATACCATGTTTTATACACTGTTGTTGGTGTCATGGTGTTGAGCTTAAGAATTTTGGGAAAGATATTCCAGAAGGCCGATTTAACCACCTCAAACCCAGTTGGGTCGGACACAACTGGGTTTGAGTTTTAACCACCCAGCTTTTGTTTCAATGAGAATTTTCTGGCTGTCCACCTTTAACTCTATCCACCAATGCAATAGCCTGCTGCCTCTGGTGGTCAAACAACCCCATGGTATGATGCTGCCGCCATCATGCTTTACCACTGGCACAGGAGTCACCAGGAGCTTTAAAAGACTCCTCCAAACATACTTGATAGTAAGGGCAGCAGCAAGTTTCAGTCAACCTTAAAGGCTCCATTGTGAAGCAGCGGCCTATTCTCTCAGGTCACAGCATTGTGATGCTTTCTTCTCCAGGGACACTGGTGTTCCAGCAGTTTCCCATTCTCAGCAGAAGACCTTCTTGTTCCTGATCTGCCTGATCAATTTGGATCAGATTCTTAAATCTTGAATACAGTTGGGCAATACGGCAGTACATTGATTCCAAACACACATCCAAACTTGTTTTGAAATGACTAAATCAGGTACATCTGAAAGTGGTGGAGTCCAGAGTCCAGGGTGAAGGTTTCAATTCAAAATCGATGTACCAACCGTAAAGCACAATGGTGGCAGGATCATGCTGTGGTGCTGTTTTACCAGTGGTAATGGTGTAAGAAAAAATGATGAAGGTGCTTCCTACAATATCATCATGGACATTTTAAATTCACTAAAGATGTTTGTTGTAAGATCATTTAACCTTCATGCTCCTGGTGACTGCAAGTTGACATTTAGTCAGCATGATGAGGGTTAAGAGAGGATAAACTTATATGTATTCCAAACCCATCTGCTACATCACATATTTATAGTCTCATTTTTTAAAATCTGAACTCACATCCTCGGAGTCTAGTTTTGATATGAATTCTTGACTTGGCGTTCCTGTGACCTTCATGATCTGATTCAGCTGATCTAGGTCTGAGGAGAAACATTAAGGTTCAAAAAGCAGATGAGTATAAGTTGATCCTGAAAATAAAATTAGAAAATAAATCCTCTGCATAAACCCGGAGGATGAGTATGGTAAAAAAGAAAAATGAAAGGATACGGTCGCTGCCTTTAAAAAGGGGTTTTCCTTGCAGCATCTCTGCCATGATGCAGCCCACAGACCAAATATCCACTGTGGAACAGACAAAGCAGCACCGATGAAGACATAGCATGATAAAATTGAAGGTCATCGATCTGCAACTTGAAATGAAATGTATTTGAAAGAAAATTTTACAGTGCTGGCTGTTAAGGCAGCTCCACCTAGTGGATAAACAGTGTCTTGTAAGTTCTGATTTCGAAATCATAGCAACAGCAGGATGACGGCCTACTTCTGAACTCAGCATTAAAACATCAAACACTCAAGATTTATAAAATAATAATCACAAGTCTTTTTTCATGCAGTAAATATTTTCACCAAGTTCAGACTTTTTAAAACTTTTTTCACAGGAAAAAAAAAAAGCTAATGTCATGTGACAGCAGAAACCCTGAGAAAGCGAATGATTCACATACCAAAAAAAAAACAAGTCAATGCCAAACATTGAAACAATAGAAAGATTGTTTTTGTTTTGTTTGTTTGTTTTCTTTTGCTGATGAGACTTACTGAGAACAACACACTGATCAGAAATGCCAGTATTGGGACCTTTACCCACAGATTTACCTGTCTGTGTGTAATGCATCCAGTTGAGGATGACCTCCGGGGCTCTGTACCATCGGGTCACCACATAGCCTGTCATCTCAGTGTCCGCCTGCCGAGCCAAACCAAAGTCCAAGATCTATCGGAACAATAAATGCAGACAATTGAAGAATTACTTGAACTGGGCATCATAAAACACAGTTACAGATTTGGGCACCTCAGGTCTGCTAAAGGCCTTAAGGTAAATTAATCTTTTACAACAGTTCAAACAGTTCAGTAACAGACAGTGTCCTGACTAGTCCTTTTGTAAATTTTTTTTTTTCATCTCAATGGAACTTTGTGTTAGAGGGGGAGTAAAAAAAAAACTCTTTTTGAAAAATGTAACAATTGCTACCTCTAATTTGAGTATATTTATGTTCTGGACAACAACGCAAATAAAGATTAGCAAAATCACCACCATCACCACCGTCTAAAAGTCAGTGTTTATGAATGATTTTTACCATATGACTTATTGAGATTTTCTTTGAAGTTCTAATTAGTGGGAGTCAGACTTTTCCAGTTTATACGACATGATGCAACAGAATCCCATTTTCTGTCACCTGCACAGCAGGTTAGTAAAGTTTTGCTGAAACTTGCTGCTGAACAAATATCTTTATATCAGATCTGTGGCAACAGAGAAACGTTTAAAGAATGCAGGACAAGTGGAGGAGATTTGCAATGATTTTCATATGTAGCTACTTGCCCTTTTCTACTGTCGAAAGCAACAACTGACAGTTAAATGTGTGCAACAAAAACTTAACCGTTAACCACAAGTGTTCACTCACATCCTCGTCCAGCTTAGAGTCTGCTAAACCTTTCTGGGACTTTAACCGGAGAAGCACGGCTTTGTCAAACAAACCCAAGATTGAGTTTTCAAGGATGTCTAGTATGAGACATAGATATGTGGAAAAGCACCTTCTGCTTAGTGTTAAGCCTAGTAAAGAATTGATGGGTCTGTTTCTCTTCCAAAGGTCCCAAGAGCATCGTTAGAGTGCATGGCAGCACGGACTCTATTCAACAAGACCAGATAATTTTAAATGAAAACCACCGAGAAACTAAACCTGAGCTTTTCAGAACAATAACGATCTAATATATATGAGAGAAATGCTACAAACTAGTTGTTTCAATTCACATACCTAAATCTTAAAACAAATACAAGTTAAGCTAAACTAAAGAGAGCATGGTAAAGAAATTGAGTCTGGAGGATATTTCTGTGGAGCCAGCTATTATGCCACTTATGATTATTTTTAAACAATTAAACAATTTCTCCAGTAAATGGCTGCTGTCAAGAAAAAGGTTGGATTTTCTTTGCAATTATTTCATTGCGATCTCATTTTTCCTGCAACAATAGTTGGTTTTGCATTTTGTTCAAATCGTCACAAGGATGCCAACAAATTGGTCAACTGTAAGCGATGGGAAGGATTTGTTTAAACCACAGTGTGACGCAGAGAGCTGTACCTTGAGCTCGCAGTCCTGGTTGACGACAAGATTTCCCGGTTTGAGATCCTGCAATTGTTGACATAAAAAGCCATAAATTAGCAACTCAGAGGAAAGAAAGTCTCTGTCGTAACAGGTAACAAACCCACCCTGTGAATTATACCAGCAGAATGGATATACTGGAAGAAAGAAATAAGAGCATTAATTTAGTCAGCTAAAACTTAAAAAAGAAAAAAAAGAACAAACAGCCTGTGTGAACCGTATCAGACCTTGAGTCCTTTCAGTGTCTGATAAACCAAACACTGGATTTTTTCATCTGATAGTTTGGTCTTCTTCATCAGCTTCCCCAGGTCAGTTCCCATGAACGGCATCACCAGACAGCTTGAAAGGTAAAAGCAGGTTGTGATTCGTGTCAGATTCTACGGCACACCTTAGTACATGACATTTACATTTCTATTGGCGGCACCAGGATGAGAGGTCATAAATGAATGCTTACAAATCTTTGAATCGGTCCAAAGAAAGGTCTGCGGTAAACACATCCAGAAGGCCAATCACCTGCATGAGAGCACAAAATATCACACACTGGATTCTTTCATTTTGCTAATTAGACATCAGTAAGGATCTGCTAAGACGAGAGCCGACCAGCCACTGGTCTCAGTTTTTAATTCTGCATAAATGAAACTGACTAGTCACATCTCCAAAAATTGTAATATGCAACTAATATATAAAAAAAAGTGTTTTAAGCATTTATTTCTGTCAAAAGTGATGCTCATGTGACATTTTAATGAAAACCCAGTTTTACGAAAAATTAACTAAATAAGACAGCCAAAATCTTTCATAAGAATAGAGCTCTTATAATATAGTGTACGCATAAAGAGGGAGACCGCTAAGGTTATCCAGCAGATAGTCACTGACAGGCTTTCGTTGACCACCCCAGTCAACACCATGCGAATCTCCACAAAACTTTTAAATGATTCTCATCTGCCACACTTTTTCCTTTCTGTAAACTTTCCTTTAGCATGCTTGGGTAGAACCCTGTTTGAACAGTCAGCTTCTTCAGTAGTGACTTTTTGTTTCTTGCCCTTCATGTGGAGGGTGTCAGTCTCTGCCTGCTGTTCAAATGTTAACTCAGTAACTTAAAATTTCATTTTCAAAATAACTTTTTTTTTTTTAGATCGTATGTGATGTGACATACTATTTTTTTCTGGACTTTCATCGGCTGCAACCCACACTTACAAAATCAGCTGAAATGAAAGGTTCGAAAAATAAGTGAGACGAGTAAAGAGTAATGCTGAGCCTCACATTTTCGTGCTTCATGTGTTTGAGGAGCTTCAGCTCCCTGAAGGCCCGCTTGGCGAACACCTCCGACTGGAAGGGTCTGTAGAGCTTCTTGATGGCCACCCTGGCTCCCGTCCTGGAGTCCAGCGCCGAGCTGCAGGGAGAAACGCAGCAACAACAGCGTCACCTGACCACCCGCAGCGCCGACAGTGCGAGGAAAAAACCAGCTAAGTAGGAACTTTTCTGTAATACGGGAACAAAACAGAACACCGCAAAAAAAAGGTATTTAATTTTATTTATTTATTTATTTTTATCCAGTCGCACCTGCGCACGCACCTGCCTGTCATCCACCTGTTTTTTTTTTTTTTTGTTTTTTTTTTTTGTTTGTTTGTTTTTTCTTATAGTTCTCCACAGCTTCTCCAGACTCGTTCAGGTGTTATTAAGTCGTATTCGATGATTCGGGCGGAGCAGTTCGGAGCCGCCCACGCAAGTCGTATTCGCTGATAAAGGGGCCCCACGCTGCGAGACGCGCAAAAACGTGGCACGCAAGGCGGCTCTTTCCGTGGCTGCTGCAAACTTCACTGACCACAAGGAAGCATCTCACCCACCGACGCTCTTCCCAGACTCCGGCTGACTGACCCGCTGGTTGCTCGGTGTTGTCAGAGCGGCTCCTGCGGAGGCTGGCGGCGCGCGCGTCTTCATCGTCGTACGAGGAAGTGAAACGGCGTGCGTTTAGACACGCGCGGACACTACTTTCCCTTTTGTTTGGCTGCAACACTCGAGCGTGTTTGCTTCACTCGAGCGTGTTTGCTTGGACGTCACCATCTGTTCGCTGACGCTCTTTGTCAGCGAACAAAGAGCGACAGTCAGCCTGCCTGACTGCGTCCGCCGCCTTATAACGAAACATCTTCTTCTTCCACTTCGCCACACTTCACTTACCACACGGTTCCGTACGCTCCGGTCCCCACCTGAATCAGGTCGCGGTACCGGTCCGGCACTTCCCAGACGCTCTTGTTTATTTCCTGTCGGTAAAAGCCAGGTCTGACCCGCCTCGCCATGGTGCGTGATGAATGTCAGTCGAGACGTGTATCTCGAACACCTTCCCCTCCGATCCTACGCTCTTCCGGAGCTACGCGCTCATTGTCCCAGATTCCACCTATGCGCTCACTGCGCAGTTCAGCTCAGGGCGCACCCTGAGGTCACTAAAAAAAAAAAAAAAAAAAAAAAACAGAGAGAGAGAGAGAGAAAGCCACTCCCGACTTCTGCTGTAAGTCAATAATTAAAGGTGACGAACAGTGTTAGTTGGAAACTTAAAAAAAAAGAAAAACATACAACACATGGTTTTAAATAGGATTCCTGGGTGCATGAGTTCAGGTGGTAATTATTTGAGGACATGCTGGGACATGAAGCCTCGCTTTGTCTTTACAGCCAAAGCGAGGTTGTGAAGAGATCCATCACTGACACGCAACCAGAAATAGAAGGAAATGGAAACGTTTTCATGATGTTGTGTATTGTCAGCTTAGTCCGCCGACAAAAGACAGTAACTGTTCAGCCTGCCTTGCTAAAGAACATCTTTCACTCCTCTGTTGCATTTTGTCAGAGCTGAAAACTTCAAAGTGTCTCCCTGGATGCCTCCAACACAAAGTATTACATCACAAATCACATTACTAGAGTGAATTTCAGATCTAATCTGAAACATGCTGCGTGCTTTCACATTTCAGCGGCATATAATGTCAGCTTTCAGTTCTGGACATTCATATTTCTAACACATATTTATGTGACATGGTAGAAATGATTCCTTCTGGTCCTGGAAGGAAAATATCCAGCCCAGACTAAAGCTTTTGGGTTTTCTTCCAACTGATTTTTATCTCCCCATCAGCTCTCACAAGCTTCCTCCTGGTCCCCAATGAAGAAAAGCAATCCCTGGGGATGCTCCCAACCCCATGTTTGGATGTTGCGGTTTGTGCAGCGCTGGTTTTCTGTCACATATGACAGTTTGCATGCAGGCCACAAAGCTAAACATGGACATATCTGACCAGGGCTTCTTCTTCGTGTTTTCCCAATATTTAAACGCGACGACTTTCTTCTTGCCAGTTTTCATCAAAAGCCAGTTTGTGTCACGCCCAGCTAATCGCCATCGACTGGTACTCTGCAGCTCCCCAAACGTTTCAAAGGGATTCTTGGTAGGTTCGTGGTTGTACCAGCTCCAAACTTGAAACAAACCTTGATCCATATTTACACACACAGGAGAACACAAGATATCAACACACAATTTAAAACAGGATACAAAAATGAAATGGAAATAATACAAATGTGAAATTACTCTATAAACTCTTAAAAAGTGACTCGTTTATAATCAAACCCGCTGTATCCTTAACTGAACGAGTATTGATCGAACTCAGTAGAGTGCTATAAAATACTGCTTACAGGAACATCCAGCTGTTCAACTGCGTGTTTAAAGCTGCTTTAAATGTCCTAATGCTCACAGAAACATTTCACTGTATGCAATAATCAAGTTCTGCTTATTGCATCGTTAGTAAGGTGGCAACAGATGGGAAGTAACCAGAATATGCAATGTGCTTTAGACAAAGAAACACTTCACTTCATCTGAATATATCAGCATCAGTCATTTGCTTTGTAATAAAACTGTTCGGTCTGCTAAAAGGTCTGTTTAATAGCAAAAACAGAAAAGGTTACAATTGATAAAAGGATATTTTTTTTGACATTTTATATATATATTCACCTGAAAGTTACAGCAATTGCAATATTTTTCTAAAAATACATTTTCAACACGAGCAGATACATCCAGATTTGTCATTTTATCGTTCTACCTGTAAAAATAGAACCATAAAAAAACATGATGGTCCGAACCTCAGAGAGAGGCGCGATCACAGTGAGGAGGACAAAAAGCATTTACCGAACTCATTGTGTGTGTTTTTTGTCAACTGAAATCCCTCCCTTTTAAAACCGACACAGTCCTCATAATATTTAGTGCATTCTGGAAGTGACAACCCACAGTCTATCAGAGGCAGGCAGGTCAATACGGGACTTGTTGCCTGAATCATCATAAATAGCAGAAGTGACACTGAACAGACGGGGTGGAGCAGAGCCAAGCTGGGTTTCTGTAAACCTGTTCCTTCTGCAACCTGCACATTACGACTTGACTCAACTCAGCTTTTGTCATCTGCGTTAATGAACGCCTAATAATAAATCCCAAACTGTTTAAATTTGGAAATCTTAGGCAATGGAAGAAGAGAGTCACCTCCCATCCTCCTGTCTGTTTTGTGTCATCATGCTAATCTGTGAAGAGCCACTTCTCTTAACTCCCTCACTGCTGCCTTGCCAAAGCTAAAAAGAACGCTGGACAGTGAGCCACAGAGAGGAGGGGGATGTAAAAAAGGTAAAAGAGAGTGAGCAACACTTTCCAGCTTTCTTGTTCTTTTAGGCAGGACAGCAATTAAGGAAGCGTTTAAGAAGATCAGGTGACACAGATTTGGTGTGCCCATGCTGGGGGCTTGCCGTCATACGGCACAGGGCTCATGGCTGTTGATGAAGAGGAGGTTCCCTGCTGTGGCTCCTCTCCTTCATCCCTCTCCCCCTGTTCAGTCCTCCTGTGTGAACCCACCCAGGTAGGAAGCTCCAGCCCTGGCTGAGAAGAAAACGGTTTCTCCAGAACCTTGAGGACCCGTTGGACCTAAGGACAATGAATTGATCACAGGGAGACATTGAAAAAATGTGCAACATTCTAAAGTCACACCAGATCGGGAAAAGTGAATCCTGACCTCAGAGAAGTCCCCACTCTCAGCAGCCTCTATTGCATTCTGGGCAATGTAGTTTCTGAGCACTACGCGAGGGTTGGTGCCGTCCATCACTCTCGCCCTCTCCTCCTGCACGGCCTGCATGTCGCTCTGACCCTCCAGCTCGCGGGCCAGACGTTTCCTGTGCAGTGACGATAAGGCGGAAACACTCAGTTACAATAATGGGACACTATCCGCCTGAAAACAACATTTCCTCCCTCTCTGTCCGCCCCCTTTATCAGTCAGACTTCCACCCATCACTTGCCACGAGAAAAAAAAAAGCAAAACAAACAAAACAAAAAAAAAAAAACTCCCTAACTTTGTCCTTGCACAGCCTTTTTCTCACAGACAAGCCATGTTTCTGTCGAGTCTCTCTCGGGTAAAACGTCTCACCTGTAGAGGGCGATCCAGGAGGTCCACTCCTGAGCCTGCCGGACTCTCAGCTCGTCCTGACTCGTCTCCAGCAGGACCTTCAGTTTGTTCATTCTGTCCAACTGTCTCGCGATGGTCGCCCTGTCTGAGATCATCTCAAACAGAGCAGGGTTGCTCTGAGCCATGGAGAGCAGCATTGACAATTCACTGTCAATCACACAGATAAAAATGGGTCATAACAGGGCAGAAAGTCTGAATGCTGATATACAGAAAGAAAGCGGAATGGTATTATGGGCAATAGCCATCCTGCAAAATCACAGATTCTCTATAAGGTTGAGGTCAGGTTAGATTATTGGCCAACCAAACAAAGTGGCATCATGGTCATTAAATATCAGAACCTTTGGCAGTATTGGTAAATGCAAAGTCCTGATAAAAAATGAAGTGAGAAAAATGAAGTGAGTATTTCCACAAAACAGAAGGAAGCACGAAGTCATCTAATACTTTGTTAGTAGTCATTGACTGTTAACTTGAGAAAACCCAGTGGACCAATACTAGTAGGTTATGTGGCTTCACAAATAATCACTGACTGTGGAATCTTCAAACTGGTCCTCAAGCAACTTGGATGGGTTTCAAACTTTGACTGATATTCCTGTTTGTAAGTAGCAATGTCACGCTGTAAAGCAACTCACACAATACATATTTGCATTTATTATTTTTTAAGCCTAATAATTATCCCTTTAAAAATCCAATAATCATTTTTCAGTTTTCAAATTTGCAAAAGAACGGAATGTTTTATCAGCAGCATACCACAATCACCTAAATTAGCAGAAACAAGCACTTGAATTTTAATTTTACTACCCTTTCTGGAATTAAAAACATACAAATACTTCCTGATAGACCCCAGGTCCAGCAGTAAGAAATACATAATACATCACCACTGCCCTCTTGAGTCAGAAATGTGAACTACATTAAATTAAGTGAATGTACCGATAATTATAAAACCAGTACTTTTGCCTTTTAATCAGATTTCTTTAGTACTGGCTATGGCAACTATGCCTTAATAGTAGAGCTAAGAGACAATGCCACCTCCATGTGACAGCTCATAGTTTACCTATATTGAATTCTGTCAAAAGACTCTGATATCATATGCAACTTTTTTTTTATAATTCAGTTAGAATAATTTAGCAATTCTTTAAAAAAGATCTAGCATTTTTCTCCTTCACATTTTAAACAGGGTGTATTACTGTCCTTGCTGAATATGATGGATGAATTTCAAAACAAAATTTGTTGACAAATGTGATTGAGAATCATCTTTTAACAAGCAAAAAGAGTTTTCCTCAGACGCTTAGGAACACATATTCATCTCAAAATGTACGCAATCCTGCTGAACATGCCATTTTTTAAATTCTAATTATTACTATTATCCTTGTTTGTTATCTGCATATCTCACCGTGGATCCATTGTGGGTGTGTTGGCTGACTTTAGCTCCTCTAAAGAAGCACACTGCTCCAGGAGGAGTTCTGAGGCTTTCTCAACGATCTCCTCGTCTCGCTCCGTTTCTCCCTCTGACGGACAGGAAATCTGAGCTAAGTTACGGAAGGTGTTCGTGAAGTCAGCACCTGCAGGAAAGAAATGGGAAATTAGTCAATCAATAGTCATTTGATTTAACGCAAACACCCCACGCTGCAGGCCAACCTGTGTCGTGCATTGTGCGCAGCAGCTCAGTGATCAGGATCTCGTCTTCGGGTTCCTCCTTTCTCAGCAAACCCAGTTTCTTCCTCATGTTCTCCAGGTAGAAGCGGTTGAAGTGATCCATGTATTCATCTATCACTGCCTTTGCTCGATCTGGTGGCAACTCTGGAGCCAGAGCCTCTGCCAGCTTCACCAGGTTCCACCGGCAGATAGCTGGCTGGGCCTTGTACGAATATCGCCCAGAGTTGTCTGATGCATTGCAAATGAAATCTGGATCAAACCTGAAATGGATATGGAAAGCTGTTACCGACCTATGCGAAT